TTTTAATTAACATGACAGTTTTGACACCTCTACATACCGTATCCTCACTTTTGGAGCATTTGTAACTTCTCTATAGATATGCAACTCTCATTCTGTGGACAAGGTTCCTGCTGCAGCAAAAATGGTATCTGTTTGAACTTAGCATTAAGTTCAAATGGCCCAGTTAAATTCAGTGCCCCACCTGTGAGAACCATGTCCTGCCTGTATCCGAACAGCATCTCACCCTGACCCTGTATCCCAGCAGCATCTCACTCTGACCCAGTGAAAATAGGACGTCAGACCTCCAGACCTGGGTCCCATCCATGATTGTGTAAGATTCTCAAAGTCTCCGTGACTCCATTGAAAATCCATGCAGAAATCTTATCTGTGCACCCCACCCCTTTCATAAGCACTGCAGTGAAGCTAATTAGGTGGTAAACCTTGAACTATAAAACTTGGCAGCATGAAATCCATTTCTCACCCTACATGTACAAATATACCTGGACCAAGTGTATGCACAGTCAAAATGTTCACAAAAGAATGGCCTATTACATTAACTCCCTGCACCACTGAATCCATTATTTTATAATCTCTGACACAAACAAACGCTAACCTATATGAACTCACTTATATAAGTTTCCTCAATTGAAGTTGTGATGCAATCATTGCTAGCAAGTTAATCAATATACATTTACTTATTTTCATTGACCCTTATTACAGATGTCTAGTGTTATTTGAGCTCCTACAGTGCTACTTTTACAGGAAATAGAATGTGCCAAACTTCCTGACATAAATTATTTGAAGAGTGAAGCCTATTATCATGTGCTATAAATCCAAAAGCCTTTTTTCGAGATTTCCAGAGGGAATTGTGACATTCCTAAAATTGATTTGGAAGAGCTAAATCATTTTAATCCAAGATAAGAGTTAATTAAGTTTACATTTCTTAGGTAGATTATCTCAGTGTGTTGTATTTAGCTGTGGTATGTCAAAATTCTTATATTTTTACAAGTTACAATTTGGGTGAAAATGAGCAACGCTCATTACAGTAATATGATTGCAATTTGACTTCCAAATAAAAAGAAATTCCATACAGACTGTTAGTGTAACATTTGTTCTGATTAGCACTTCTGGGGTTAAATATTCTAATCAAGCAATTTGGAATGTTTTTACAATCTAGCTGTAGAATCCCAAATTCAAATTATTTCCTTCCTTCATTATGGCTATTTTCAATACTAATGACATTTTAATCTGTGATGTACTATCTCTCCAACTTAAATTAACATTATTCACTTCAAGTAATTATGCATCAAATAATGAGACCTGCATCAACAATTTCCAGTGCAGCTTCTGTTGCTCTGCTGACAATCTTTGGGGATAGTTCAGCAGAAACCCATTTACACAACTGAGTGGAGGGTTCCACATCTACCAAGGTTATGGCAACAGAGCAGGAAGCACAAGGAAATCCTTGATAATTGTTTTTCCCGTGCTGAAAAATAGGTTGAGGGCAAAGTTAGGTGAGATGATAATGTTGAAACCAGTATAATTATTGTTTAAGGGGAAAATCTTAGTGACTATTAGTCTAACAAACTTTTTTTTATTGGAGAGAGAAAATACTTTTCAATGTAGTCACAATTTGTGGCATAATCTGTGACAGATTGTGTCCAGAATGGAAACTCCACCCTACTGTCTTTGGTTAATTAACATTTTTATCACTTTGAATGATGTAGAAACTATTGCATTGAAAGATTAGAGGGAGCAGATTTAGGACTGAATTGAGAAGGAATTTCTTCACCCAGAGGGTTGTTAATCTATGGAATTCCTTGCCCAGTGAAGTAGTTGACGCTACTTCAGTAAACGTTTTTAAAGAAAAGGTAGATTTTTTTTGAACAATAAAGGAATTAAGGGTTACGGTGAGAACGCGGGTAAGTGGATCCGAGTCCACGAAAAGATCAGCCATGATCTTATTGAATGGTGGAGCAGGCTCGAAGGGCCAGATGGCCTACTCCTGCTCCTAGTTCTTATGTTCTTATGTTCTTATGAAAATGAGGATGTACTCAATGTTTCTGTGCCATACGTTTATTCTCATACAGACTTCCTTCTACACTATTAGCCTCTTTCCACCTGCCTGTTCTCCTTCATGTGTGAATCAGGCATCCCTTTATGTGCCTCAGCTCCCAGCAACATGTCAATTCCATAACATGAGTCCACATTTAAAGTCAGACAACTTAGCATTGTTTCGCTTTTAAGTCAGGTAGTCTTTAGGACCAGAAACCTCAGTGAGCATTGCAAGATTCACAATGATGTTATTTACTATAGTAAATTACCTGAGCTGATTGGCGCCATCGTAGAAGGACCACACCCTCTCTCAGACTTGAAGCTGCTGCAAGCCGTTTGATTGCAGCCTCTCCTCATGCCACACCATTGCCCAAGGTCTTCACCAGAGAGCATTTGCCAAAGCCACTGCTTGCCACCTGGAACTTGTCAAGCTGTCACCTCACACCAAGGGATTTGGGAGTCCTCATCAACGAATCACAAAAAGTGAATAATTGGGAAGGCAAATTAAATGTTGACCAATATTATAAAGCAAATGGAGTATAACAATAGGGAGGTTTTTGCTAAAACAATACAAAACACTAGTCAGACTGCAGCAGGAATACAATGAACAGGTTTTGTCCCTTATGTAAGGAAAGATATACTGACATTGTCCATAGAAGGTTCACTAGGCTGATGCTGGATATGGAGGGACTGCCTCATGAGGAGAGGTTAGGTAGATGGGTGTCTACTCGTTGGAATTTATAAATATGAGATACAACTTGAAACATATAAGATACTTAGCAGACTTGACAGAGCAGATGCAGAAAAGTTGTTTCCCCTTGCAAGAAAGTCTAGGACCAGAATCCATAATCTCAGAGTAAGGGGTCAAACATTTAAAACAGATGTGAGGAGGAATTTCTTCTGTCAGAGGGTTGTGATTCTGTGAAATGCTTTATCATAGAGGGCCATTGAGGTTCTGTCATTAAGTATGTTCAAGGCCATGATAGACAGATTTTTAATCAGGGAGAGATTCGAGGGTTATGTGGAAAAGGGAGGCAAGTGGAGTTGAAGTTTTTCAGATCAGCCATGATCTTATTGAATGACAGAACAGACTCGATAGGCTGAATGGCCTACTTGTGCTCTTATGTCATATGGTCTTATGTTCTAAGTTGAGTGGGTGGGCAAGCATATGGCAGATGCAGTACAACTGGTTAAATATTAAGTTGTACACTTCAGGTTGAAAAACAGAAAGGAAGAGGGTTACATAAATGGTGATCTACTGGGAAGTGTGGATGTACAAAGGGTCTAGGGGTTCTTGTAGACCAATCAATAAAAGTAAACTGGCAGGTGTAGCAAGCAATCAGGAACACAAATGCTACACTGGCCTTCATTGAAAAAGGAAGGTCAGAAGTGGAAATATTCACCAATGATTACACAATGTTTAGATTCGTGACTCCTCAGATACTGAAGCAGGCCATGTTCAAATGCAACAAGATCTGGACAATATCCAGGCTTGGGTTGACAACCGGCAAGTAACATCCATAACAAACAAATGCCAGGCAATGACCATCTCCAATAAGAGACAATCTGAACTCCACCCCCTAACATTCAGTAGTGTTGCCATCACTGAATCCTTCACTGTCAACATCATAGGGGCTACTATTGACCAGAAACTCAACAGGACTTGCCACATAAACGTGGTGGCTACGAAAGCAGGTCGGAGGCTAGGAATACTGCAGCGAGTAACTCACCTCCTGACTCCACAAAGCACATGAATTGCAGCTGTTCAAGAAGGCAGCTCAGCACCATCTTCTCAAGGGTAACTAGCGATGGGCAATAAATGCTGGCTCATCCAGCAACATTTAGACCCTCTGAGTGAATAGAAATAAAACATTATGTAGGACTTCGGTGAGACCACATCTGGAATGTTGCATACAAGTTTTGGTGTCCCTACCGGAGGAAAAAAATACTTGGTGTAGAAGGAGTGCAGCACAGGTTCACTCAATATCGCAAGACCTATGAGTAGAGATTGGTTTGACTGAACTAGAATTTAGAAGGATGAGAGGGAATCTGATTGAAACGTATAAATTCTAACAGGGCTGGACAGACTAGATGCAGCGAGCTTGGGAAATCTGGAGCCAGTAGACAGTCTCAGGAAGTAGGGTAGAACATTTACGACTGAGATGAGGTAAAACGTTTTCATTCCAAATGGAATTCCTTACCTCAGAATGTTTTGGGTGCCAAATCACTGAATATGTTTAAGGAAGAGATAGTTAAACATAGATTTTAAAATAATGAGGAATGGTGATATGGCATCAACAAATTTTGTTAATTTATTCCCCTATTCTGTCATTACTGTACTGTAAGATCTGACTTATTTAACCATTATGTATTATAATCAGTTTGGAGTAAGTGAGTATTGCTGCCTTTGCTGAAATTTCAAAGAGGCCTTTAATACAAAAGGGGAAAAACTCAGCAGCTTTTTTTTACGTTTAATCACTCAAAGGATATGACATATTTAGGCATAACCATAATAAACTATTAACTTCAATTAAAAACTCAAGTTCTGAAAGTACCAACATACACTACTACGTCAGCATGATAAAAGCAAACTGATTTCAGAACATTTTCTGTACTTAGAGACCAAACAAGTAAATAAATATCTGGGTAAGCTAATATTCCAACCCAATGTAACTAAAGTACAGTGTAATATTTTTAATACAGTTGGTTTTAAAAGAAATGTTCTTTTTTGTCAATTTTATCCAGTAGTACATCCATGGTAGAGCAATCAAATTCAGCTATTTTTTTCTGAAGAAAAGTCATATTGGACCCAAAACATTAGCTCTCTTCCTCTCTGTACAGTTGCTGCCAGACCTGCTGAGTTTCTCCAGCATATTCTAAAATAACATGAGCCCAAGCACTTGGAATGATTGTTCCAATTCATTTGGTTAATATGTGGTTCCTTTTCCTGCTGCTTTTCTTAACAGAGAAGAAACACCCATTACTCTCTGCAGTCTCTGGTGTCATTTGGAGTGAAGGAAATGGCATACAAAATCCAGCCAGAAGAATTACCCAGCACAAGTACTGTGGTAAGTGCCTTGAGGGAAAACACATTTTATAAACATGAGACTTACATAGATAACATTAACCGGATGTATACAGTTTCAGGATCCAGAGAGAAATTACCAAGACACAACTTCCTTTTGCTCAAGATGACTGCTTCTTATCCATACATGTATTTGTTAACATAGCTTTACCAGAAATTCTAATTTTCGTGAGAATGATCAGATTTATTGCTGCAAGGTACAACTAAAACTCTGCACATTTTTGTATTCTTAAGTAATAACTATTGTTTTAATGTCAAATGTGTTAGAATTGAAATGTGTTATCTATAATGTCTTACATTTTCTTGGACTTTTTTTAAAATTAGAATGTGCTGAATGATAGCCCAAAAATTCTGACTGCTTGCTTTCAGCATGTTTTTACTGGTGTAGCTCATTCTGAGATTTTTTTCTTTTAAATAATTTAAGTTTTGATAAAATTAAGCATTTTTAAAAAACTAGGATTTTACATATTTCATTCCATTTGAGTGAATAGCCAAGGTCTCTTCCCTGGGCTGAGGGAGCCCAAAACTAGACAACATAGGTTTAAGGTGAGAGGGGAAAGATTTAAAAGGGACCTAAGGGGCTACTTTTTCACACAGAGGTTGGTGTGTGTATGGAATGAGCTGCCAGAGGAAGTGGTGAAGGCTGGTACAATTATAACATTTAAAAGGTATCTGAATGGGCATATGAATAGGAAGGGCTTAGAGGGATGTGGGCCAAATGCTGGCAAATGGGACTAGATTAATTTAGGATATCTGGTTGGCATAGACGAGTTGGACTGAAGCATCTGTTACCATGCTGTACATCTCTATGACTCTATTTCACTAACCCTGCTCTCTGGATTCCAAATATATAAAACTTTACAAAGTAATGTTCTCCAGTTCCTGGTTACATAAAACACCCCCATTGTACTGCATCTCATGCACAATTGCAGTAACTGGCACCAGAATTTTAGATCACTGTTAAATGTATTAATTAACCAAGATATCTATAATGACATTTAATAATAGCCTAACGTTAAGCCATGTCATTTTGTCTTTCACATTTGATAAGCAGACATACTGGACAATCTGAATTGTAAATCTCCCTAATGTGTAGCTGAAGGTCTATTTATGTAATTATTTTATTATAATAATATTTTGTTTCATGTAATTAGCTTCAAGTAAAAACAAAACATGCTAGTTTAGGCCTCTTATTTACAATTGGTTTCCTTACTGTTTATATTGCACATTATGATGAGCAATCAGACTGTGCACTAATTAGAGAGAATTGTTAACCCATCAAAGTAAATCACTGAATTAATCATAGTTTATAAAATACAATTTATTAAGGACAACATTTAATAAGTAGGGTAGAACATTTAGGACTAAGATGAGGAAAAACGTTTTCACTCCAGATGGAATTCTTTACCTCAGAAACTGCCATCCTTACCTAGTCTGGCCTACATGTGACTCCAGACCCACAGCAATGTGGTTGACTCTGAACTGCCCTCTTGGGCAATGAGGGATGGGCAATGAGGGATGAGCAATAAATGCTGCCTAGCCAGTGACACCCTCATCCTGTTAATGAATAAAGAATAAAGGATATTGTAAAAGTGCCTTTGCTTTGCTGATTGGACCAGTCTAAAAATAATACCGCCAGTCATGGGACTATCAGAGGCCAGTCAGTTACAATGGATCACTCAGCTTCACTAATATCCACACCCCTGTTGAGCAGTATTCCCTTCAATTCATATAGACTTCATTCCAAACCTGCCTGTGTTCAGCTCAATTCTGGCCCAATCGTACTTTCAGATCCCAAGTTCTCCTCTTTTTCTCTTACTTCCCTGTGTCTCCCACTCTCTAATCAGACATTTTCCTTTCTTCGTATTTCTCCCTTCTTCATATTTCTCCCTGTCCTATCTTGAAACAAACCACCTGTTAACACTGGAGTTCTCCTAAATTCTCTACGAATCACCATGGGAGATAAACTAAATGTATTTAACAATGAAGATTAATGCACGCAATTAGCGTGAAGTGCCTTAAAATTAAATCAACTGGAAGTCTCTCAATATTTTCATAAGTTATGACAGAGCGCATATTTCTAGATAGTAAGGAATCAATTAAGAATCAAAGAATTTCATAAGTAATGTGAATCAAGCTTCAGACCAGTCTAGTCAGTAGCTTTAATCATGCCTAGTATTACACTGCTGGTAAAAAGACAAATGGTTTGCTGCATGAACTGATATTGTGATAAATTGTCACTGATTTACTGAGACTGGCTGATCCACTTCATATTTCATTTCCTTCCTGATATAGAATATAGCAGTTTAACATGTTTAATCCCTTCCCACTGTTCTAAAATGTTGAACATAATGTCAATGTCATAAAATGTAACTTGATACTAATTTGTGACTGTCATGAAACAAGTTGGGCACAAATATGTTTCACCAGCTTATTGCTGCAGTGATTACAAGAATAATATTTTAACTTTTCAAAGTAGTTTATGCAGAAACCTAATTTTTCATGTTTGTCTTACCCTAGATAAAGACTTCAGTGATTTGGGCTACTCCTGATGCTTCACTTGCAATTCCCCTGTGGGTCATAATTCTGGCTGTACTGGTCGGTTTGCTGGTTCTGGCTATTTTGATCCTAGTCATGTGGAAGGTACGTTTTCAATTTCTCATTCCTGTACAATTGCATGTCATGAGCAATCAGACTGTGCACTAATTAGAGAGAATTGTTAACCCATCAAATGTCTCACTGAATTAATCATATTTTATCAACTATCATCTGCAATATATTAATGACAACATTTAATAATTCAAATAACTGCCACTGTAACGTCAACATGTCTATGTGAATAACACAGAATGGAGCTGGAGGAACACAGCAGGCCAAGCAGCATCAGAGGAGCAGGCAAGTTGACATTTCGAGTCGGGACCCTACTTCAGAAACGGTTTCTAAAGATGGGTCCCGACCCAAAACGTCAACTTTCCTGCTCCTCTGATGCTGCCTGGCCTGCTGAGTTCCCTCAGCTCCCATACTGTTTCATCTCTGACTCCAGCATCGGCAGTTCTAACCATCTCTGATGTCTACATGAATACCCTGTTTATGAGTTTAACAGAGTTAGTGATGTAGTGGAAGAAACCCAAAGGAAATGGATCTCCAAAGTGTTAACTCAGGTCACTCATTCTCTGTTTTCATGAAAATGGAAAGGATCTAATCCTTAAAACACTGAGCCAATCTAGAAGTTAAAAAAAAAACTCATTCTGACCTATAAAAGAAGAGAAATATTCATCTTTCAGGCTCAAAGGGAAGCAAGATGGGGCAAGAGAGAAATAAAAGATGTGCCGAGAGCAGTTTGTGCTGCTAATTGAAAGAGAAAGAACAAAACAAACAAAAGAAGAAACAGTGGTGACAAGAGTTTACATCTGGAATTGTTGAACTCAAAAAAAAGTGTTGAGACCAGAGAGCTGTGAAGTGAGCAGTCCAAAAGTTTGGTGATGTTCCTGAAGCCTATGTTGTGCCTCATTTGAACAGTAGGTCAAGAACAGAAATGTCAGCAGGAGAGTAAGGGAAAGTATTAAAACGATGAAGGTTTGGGGTCATGCTTGCAGACATTCCACAAAGCAGTCACCCAGTACGCATCCGGCATTGAGAGGACAACACCGTGAGTAGTGTCTGCACTAGATTAAATTGAAAGAAGTACATGTAAATTAGTGCTTAACTGGAAGAAGTGTTTGGGTCCTTAATGAGGATTATGATGATGATGAGGAGGAGGAGGAGAGGGGAGGCAAAAGGGCAAAACTTACATCTCCTGTGTTGACATGGAAAGGTTTTATGGGAAGGGGGTGGAGTTTTTGTGGTGACTATGGAGTGAGATAGGATATTCTGGAGGGAATGGTCCCTCAGAATGCAGACAAGGTGTTTGGCGGTGGGTTCATACAACAGAAAGTGACAGAAATGGCAGAAAATGATCCATTGAATATGGAGGATGACGGAGTAGAAGGTGAAGACCAGCTAAACTCTACTGTGTTTCTGGGAGGGAGGAGCAGGGATTAGAGCAGAAGTACAGGAACTGTGGCAGACATGGTGAAAGGCCCTGTTAACTGTACTGGGGAGGGAATCTTCAGTTGGAACTTGTTTTTCATCTCCTCACAAATGGAAGCATTGTTTCTGTGTTTAGTCCATCAAATGCTTTTATAATCTTAAGGACCTCAGTCAGATCACCTCTAAGCCATTTCTTTTTACAGAAAATAGCCCAATTTATTCAATCTTGTATAGAACCTCTCAGTTTTGTATCATCCTTTTTGTGTCTTTGCCAGTGCCTCTATACTCCTTTCTAATGTGGAGATGAAAATTCTGCACAGCACAAGTACAGTCAAACATTCTAAGTTTAACATAAGTTCTGCCTTATTGTCTCTTACCACTACTACTGTGAGCCCTTTAAAAATGAACACTGTGTTTGCTTTCTTTACAGCTTTATCGACCTGATTGACTACCAGTATTGACTTGTTTATCTGTATCCCCAGATCTCTGATCCCCTATCCATTCAGCCTCTTAATTTCCCAGATGTATGTGGCTTCCTTATTCTTGCCACCTCACATTAATTAGTTCACCCACTACATGTCAATTCAGCAAGCTTATTAATGCCACATCCAGCAGCACAAACCATCAGAAATGAAGGATAGAATTGTTTAGGGAATCTGAATGAGATGGGTTAGGGCATATTTATGGCAGAATCAGAGGAGAGGTCTGGCAAGGCTGATTTTGACATCAGGAGCCCTCACTCTATCTGTTATGTTTTTTACTAGCAGCATAGCAAGTTTCTTCTTCGACAGCAGCAAGCTGCCAATTAAGGTGGATTACTGCTTGTTAAGCACCTTATTATTGTCCCAATGGTTGAGCTTCCTACTTTACCAAATGCTCTAAACAAGCTAGGTGGAAAACCCGACATGGAAACCAGAACAAGTAACTGGCGAATTCGGTTCACCACCTACTCTGAAGGACTGCCTTATCTCTTAAAGGCAAACACGATCTCAGGGCACAGTCCACAGCACCAGCTCCATGCACCTCTTATCCGTACACTGGAATTTGGCATTTGCCAACCCCTCATGGCCATCATGGCACCTCTCTCATTCGCCTGCAGGCTGCTGATGGAGTACAGGGATAACACAGTGTGGAGCTGGAGGAACACAGCAGGCCAGGCAGCATCAAAGGAGCAGG